ATGCAGTATCAGGCAGCACCACTGAAATGACATGCTGGATTAGTAGGAGAAATGAGAGTCAATATCAACTAGCATTCATCATAATACCACTTAGTATATCACTAACTTTTAATAGCATACTACTACTATTAGGATTCTGGATTAATTGCAAGAAAGGGAGACATCGTAATAGCCTATATCTCTCTTCAAGGAATGAAGAAGTCACCACACCTCAGCTAGCAAGGGTCAGTATATACAGTGTCCTACAGTTGGTGGTGATGGGCCTACTGCTTATGTGCTATCTACATCAGTACTGGTATCAAAGAGATGCTGAAATTAACTATCTTCAATTCATAGTGCATAAGCATGTATCATCATGCTATCCTCATGCAACTGATAATCATTTTATGTTTTTTATCACGGCAATACTACGAGTGCTTTGCTTCCAGATTATGGGTGTGGTCCTGTTGCTATGGATACTGAGAAGAGAGCTCTTGTGTACGTGTAGGTATAGGTGTAAATATACGAACAACAAAAATAACAATAACAACAACAACAACAACAATAATAATAATAATAATAACTTAAATAATTTAAATGTAAGTAGATCATTGGCTGGTGAGCAATCACTGTCACTTCTTACAAACACACCTCCAAGAAAAAGTTAAATATTTATATTTTTATTTCATGAGTATTTTACAATACAATAGTATTCTATTGATATCACTAACAATGATTTACTTATTTCAATAATTCCACTAAAGCTATTTTTTGGAAAAAAAGCATAGGCTCTAGTACAGGGAATTATAAAGGCTATTCATGATATTAAAAATATAGCATAGAAACTTTGACACAGCATCTAAGGGGTTCGCCTTCACAAATGTGTCATTCAATTATAATGTTAATTGAAATGACCACTGAATATACAAGCTAGTGAATCAGTCACACCCACAAAAAATTTATCATTTCACCCATAAAATGGAGTAAAATTATCGACCATAAAATTTTGCATATGGGCATAAAATACAGTAAAATCATTTATACATGTAAATGTAAAATAGAAGCTAGAAAGCTCTACCCATGATACAACTCTCATAAACAGCCAAAAACAGATAATTTATGTACATTCTTCAATAATTTATTGTCAAAGTAATAATTACCAGTAATTGCATTGTTAAGCATGGTGATTATATAACATACTTCTGTGCATAGCTATACTTTTATTTATGATGCATGTATATACATGCATGGTACCGTATTGTAATGTTACACTCTAGCTGCTTTTGTATAGCTGTAAACAGATAAACAAGTTGGTTTTGTTACACGCTATATTACTAATAAAGAACAAGTGCATACTGGTACACACACATATACATGTACATTATGACTTTTTGCTGATCAATCATACTATTGAATATGTACAGTTTATTCATACACAATACCTTTCAAAATTAAAAATACTTCGAGACTGCGTTATGATTACTGTTAGTATCACCTGATCACA